ACCCCCTGAAGCATGCATTTGATGATTTTCTTCTCAGTGGGGAGTATACACGTGAATACTTCCCTTGATAATGTGCACGAGTTGATTGCTCATAGCTCGTCTTCATACCCTCCATGTGTGTGAAGCAATCGGATTATGTATCACACATGACGGACCTGCAAAGAGGTATGAAACCTTTGGTGCTAATTTTAGGGTGGGTTAATCCTTTTTAGCATAAAATAAATTTTGGTTTTTTTATATTTGTTTGTAAACCAATCTCTTTTGAAGCTTTGGAAGAGCTATATGACTGGGACTTTGATTTAGGAATCCATTGATGTTTAACTCTAGGTGTAGAAGAATTTTCAGCGCAGGTGAATGATGGAACAAATTTTCAAGAAGATTTTGGAGACGGCGAACCAAGGAATACCGAGGATACCATTATTTCCAAAGTATGGATGAGTCAACCAAATAAGTCTAGGAAACACTAGCCTTAGTTTTTTGTCATTTAGTTTTGATGTAATGTCTGATGTGCCCCCATTTGTACTTGTACAAATCTTAATGAAAAAGAACTTCCTTTTCCTCGATTGTTTACATTGTAGTTTAGGATGAACGTTGTTGGTTTTAAGGTGATTGAGGGGTGCTCTCGGTTTTTATTTTGTTACCCTAAATGAGCTTGTTCATATTTTGGAATTTAATATTTTTGCGTGAGGCCGGCGTATCGCCGTGTCCTCAATTTCCCTCTTTTTTATAGCTTCTCTTTACTCTCTTGTTATGAGCGAGAAGGTTAAGTAGTCGCTTAGACTTGGTGACCATTTGCCGAAAAGGGAAGACATGTCACCTTTCGACTTTGGGCAATTTGCCTCACTTAGGGGTTTCCGATCATGTTCGCCGTTGGGGACCGGTCTTTGGCCATTTTCTGCCACTTGTCACACTGAGTCCCCATGAAGCGTTCCTAAGTGTTTGGAGTAATTCATCACCTCAGTCTTTATTTCATGTCTGTCGCCCTTCGTATTCGAGAAGACAACGTGATAAGCGCCTCCTTTGGGACGCCGATCGTTTTTTCTGGTTTTCTGTCCCATATACTAAGTTGTCACCAGTCAGGTTTTTTGGATTCATATGTTTTGGGTGGACGAGGTGAAGGACTATCAATAACCCGTGAAGGAGTTAGCTTGTAAATAAGCTTGACCTCGGGGTGAGGGGTTAGCCCGTGTATGCCGCTATAGGATTACTGGTAGAACTTCACCAAGTGTTGTGCATTCCATGAACGTGGCACTTCGGACTCATTTGGGTGTCTAAGTTTGTAGGTGTGAGCTTTGATGACGACACTGATTATGTAAGGGCCCTCGTACTTTTGTGTGAGCTTGCCCCCTCCATTGGTTTGCTTGCCTCTCGTCTTTAGAGGAATAGTCTCCCACTTGAAATTCCTTGGATCGGACTTTGGCGTCATAGTTGGATTTGACCCAGCGTCGATAAACTCTTGGCTATGAAATACGCATGTTCCCGTCACTCTAAGACGAGGTGCAAGTCGATTTTCATGCTCTCCTCATTCTGCTCAACGTTGTACTGCTCGACTCATTGGGGGTGGTAGGGTTACTTTTGTTGGTGCCTTTACCACAAAGCCACAACAAAGGGCAAAGGACGTCTCGTAAGTGGGGCTCGTCTTGGCGTGGTGCGATAGGCATGGATTACATTATGCAACTTGTCCACCCAGCTCCCACCTTCGGCTTTGAGCTTCTTCTTGAGACCCTTCAATATTGTTATGTTTGCATTCTCAATATTTTGTTGCCCTGAGGATAGGCCACGAGGGAGAAACTATGTTTGATTCCCCAAGTCATCAGGATTTCTTGAAAAGGGGTGGCCTCAAATTTGGTATTGTTGTCTGAGATGATCTGATGAGGGACACCAAAACGGGTGAGGATGTTCTTGAGGATGAACTTATGGCACCTGGCCTCGATGATGCTTGCTAATGGTTCGGCCTCTGTCCATTTCCTAAAGTAGTCGATGGTGACGGTAATGTATTTGTTGTTGCCCGCTCCCCTCGGAAAAAGCCCAACTAGGCCAATTTTCTATCGGGAAAATGGAATAGTCGTGCTGACTAGGGTGTTGTTAACTGCTGGCCGCCCGGGGCTTGCTGAAAGTGTTGACATGCAATGCATTTCTTCGCGAGGTTGGCACAATCGTTGTCCATCGTCGGTCAGAAGTATCCCTGGACGACAAGGCGTCTGGACATGCTGAAAGACCTTTGGTGTGTTGAGCACACGTCGTAGTGGACTTTTGCCATGGCAACCTCGGCTTTGTCTAGATGAAAGCATAAGAAGAGAGTGATATTATAGGACCTTTTTGTAGAGCTTGTCGTCCGGAACAGTGTAGCTTGACGCTCTGAGTTTTGCCAGCTTGGACCTCTCCTTGTCCTCAGGCAGTTTTCCAGATGAGATGTAAGTCATGATATCTGTTACCGAGTCCGAGGGGTGTAAGTGTATGAATAAAACAGGGATGGCGTGAGGCTTGAAATGCTAAGCTCCTCCACTTTGAACATTTTGGAGATGTGTTTGGGGGAGACAAAACTTAGCTTGGAGAGTATGTTGGCCTCAACATTTTCGGCCCTAGGGATCTGGGTGATCTCGTGGGTTTTGAAGGCTTTCAGCAATTCAGTGGTTGCTTCCTTATATGCACCCAGGGTCTGCATGTGCCGAAGACCATGTATGAGCCGAAGGTGCCCGTACCGAAGGCCGTACGTCCCTAGGGGCCATTTGGGCCTTGGCGGCATGCTGGGAACGTACGTAGCTGGATACCGTCATGGTATTGAGGTGCTGAAGGACGTACGTAGCTGGGGGACCCTCACTTGTGCTGGAGGACATACCTCCCCCTGGGGCCTTCATGTGTAAAAGGACGTACGTCCCCGGAAACCGTCTTGTGCTGAGGGCCGTACGTAGCTGGGGTGGACTTCATACGCTTAAGGACGTACGTCCCCTGGGGCCGTACGTTGCTGGGGAGGACTTCATACGCTGAAGGACGTACGTCCCCTGGGGCCATACGTTGCTGGGGAGGACCGTCAAGTGTCAGAGGCTGTACATAGCTAGGGCTAGCTGTCATGTGGTGAAGGACGTACGTCCCCAAAGGGTCGTGCGTAGCTGGAGCTCGTCATGTATTAGAGGCCGTACGTACCCATGGCTCTTCATGTGTAAGAGGTCGTACGTACCCAAGGCTCTTCATGTGTTAGAGACCGTACGTATGCAAGGCTCTTCATGTGTTAGAGGCCGTACGTACCCATGGCTCTTCAAGTGTTTAAAGGCCGCACGTCCCCTTGTGGCATCAATGTGCCTGGGAGACTGTTGCTGGACGTACGTCCCCTGGGCCGTACGTACCCCAGGGCTCTTTTATGTGTTAAAGGCCGTACGAAGATGGAGCTCTTCATGTGTTAGGGGCCGTACGTACACAGGGCTCTTCAGGCCGTACATCCCCTACACCTTGTTATAGTATCAGAGTCGGCTATCGGGCCTAGGAACATAGGCATATGCCTAGGGCACCCATAGCATGTGGGACACCATCTTAAAAAATTACTACGTATTTAATTGTTTTAAATTATATGAAAATATATTCTTGTAAAATAAATTTTAAACATATACATAACAAAAATATTGAATATGTATTCTTTACAAAAATTATTCTTTATAAAAATATATTTAATAAAATAAAATTGGCTTTGAGTTGTCTCTTTAGTTCTTATTAAGAATTTAAGAGAAAATTTGATAGGTTGGTAAAAATAAAACATTGTTTCTCCACATCACACAAAATTGATAGGTCAGTAAAAAAAATTGTTGGACCTTCGGGTTCTTGGAATGGATTTTGCTGTCTATGGGGCCTTATTTGGCTTGGCAGGCAACACCTTACGAGAGGTTTTTGACTCTTTAATGGGCTGGCCTTTGATGGACCAGTAATCTTGGTTACTTGAAGTTTTGATGTGGGGCCTGTCCCGTCTTTTGGACTTTCCATAAAAACTCTCTCCCAATCCTATCCTTCACGGGGTGGGGGTGGGGGTGGGGGGAAGGGGGTCGAATAATTTGATGACTATTTTAGTTAGATTACTAGCTTTTATAGTTTAGCTTTTATAGTTTTGATGCATTGTAATAATGTTATTTTGGGTGATTTTTAATATGCTTACCTTTCATTCAAAAATTGAGGTAAATGATTACAATGAGACCACAAATATTGATGTAAATAATGACAATGAAAAAAGAAATATGAGTGTAGGTGACACTAATAATTAAATATCAAAATATATAGATTATAAAAATGAGAAAGACAACAGTTCAATTGAAAATGGATTTAGAGTTTCTTCAGATTAAAATTATTATGACTCAAGAAATTAGACACTAATACACTATGTATGTCGACTAGAAAAATATTTTTCTTAATTAGTTTTCGCTTTGGGCATCAAAATCCCTAAAGACGGCACCGTATAGTATGGGTTGTCCGGAGTCTTGTTCATTGTACTTGGGTCATCTGGGCCTGTTGGGCCTCATTGTAGTAGTCGAAGTATGTGGGTCGAGGGTTCCTAGATCCTATACTCCATCAATATATATAACAGCATATTTTAGGATATTGTTCTAAATATAAAGCATATTATTATAACATACATAGCTAGATCGATAGAAATTAGAAAGCTATTACAAACTAAAACAGTACTACATACGATATGATAACATATGTAGCTAGATTTGGAACTAATAGCTGATCTCGTCCATTCTTTAAATTTGGTATCTAAGTTTTAAATGGAATAATAATTCCAATTGTTTAATTTTCTCAACGCATGTAGTATGTATATGCAAATGATAAATGTGAACGTGCCTAATATATACTCGTATGTCATTATATTCAGTATCTTTCAATGAAATTTCTTAGTATATTTATGTTTTAAATTTAGAAATAATTCCTAAAATTAGCGGGTATACACTTATATATTCTATAAATATACCACCAATATACTTCAACATTTCTACTTATCATAGTCACAAATATCATTCGTATTTTCGTGCTGCTAACAGGTAAACCGAAATTAGCATCCTGCGTTATTCTTTTACTTCAAAGTTTCACTCATATTTTATTAATTTATTTACCACACTACAAGAAAAAGTATTATTTGCGTCCAGTTTTTTTGCGTCGACAAATGTGAACGCAAATAATTAGTCTTTTGCGTCAACACGTGGACCCATACTCATTGATTCATTCATTATTGCATGTAATTGTAATTGAATAAAAAACATTTTGCATGAAGAATGTACTTCATGCTTCCAATAAACACAGCTAATCGATAACCTATTTCTGTCCAATAATTCAAGATTCATAATTGAGCAAAACATGACGATTTTTAAAATATAACTCAAAGGTATATATACCCAAAAAACACTTGCATGTTTTGAAAAGTGACCTTTTTTGGATTTCGTTGAAAAATATAATGCATGTTTCATTTTTGTAGTTCTAGTAGTACTACGCTCCAGAAAATTGACACAATTTTCAAGAGAAGCATTCAACAATTTTTTGGAATATTTTTAATGAGGGATGAGTGCCGAATTTGTGGTTGATGAGAGGGCGATTTTTTTTTTCCGTTCGGGTGAGATTTTGTTAATTTTTTTATTCAAAAAAAAATCATTAGCATATACTACCTCTATCCCGAAAAAGGTTTGTCAAATTGACTATTCTTTATCAATGACAATAAATTTGGACTAATGATATTTTTTAATACAAAATTATTTTGAATATGAAAATTATACTAAAATGTTCTTTAATCAAAACATGTTAATAAAAAGTTCGTCAAATATAATAATTAAAATCATTGTCAAAAATTTGTTATCATTGACTAAGAAAAATCAATATGGTGAACCTTTTCAGGACGAAGGTGGTGGTACTATACACTACATCTAATTGTACCATTTGCACCATAATCTAAATTTACACAATAGCACAAGTAAACTGGGTTATATAATCAAAGTGCTTTGAAAAAAGGTATTGATAATTGAGTTCTGTTATTATTTATTTGTCAAAGTTAAGAAATTATAAAACATTGTTGATACTTACGAAGAAAAAGAACCAAAGTTGATTAAAATAGTTTATCAAGATAAACAATTTTAATTTTTTCTTCTAAATTTTTAAAACTCAAGGTTAGGGGTCGAGCATGTGTATATGTAACTAAATTTTGAAAGTTTTAATGAAAATATTATATACACAAAAAATAAAGTTCCAATTGGCATGGGGTGATTGCTTCGCTTCCTGTCCTCCAAATCCATCACCGTTTTCACTTGGATTGAGATTTGAACAAGAGACCACATTCACAAAATGTTATAATTCCTACAAAGTATTAAATTAGCATATGTTCGAAGTACGGTATTATAACCTATTTATACTTTGTGGTGCCATTCCACTGTACTATTTAGTTGTGTAACAAATCATACTACACTCATTTGTTACACCAGTCTACCAATAATGTCATCATCTACTGCATCTGTGAACGGGCCTAGACGCCAGATAAGTGAACGCGGAAAAGAGATAATATATCAGCTGCTGGCGGCTAGGAGGAGGATTCAACAATTAACAACTTATATAAATAATCTTCGGATGATATACAATATGAGCGATGAGCACAAAACCGCTATGTATCAAGCTGAACAAGAACGACATAACGTGATTGATCAAGAGCAGAGAATGGAAGTCATACTAGTCAACCAATTTGACTTGAGTGATGCAATAATAAGAGATAATATCGCTCTCCAGTCTTTGGTACCCGAGTACTTTTCATATTAGTGATGATCTACTAGTCAATTGTTAGTAATTAATAATGAATAAGTGGAGTAGTGCATTTATTAATTTTATTAATATTGTAGCTCTAAATATTTTGATTGATTATGAGTTTCAATTTTATGTTTACCATCCACGACCATTTATATGAATAAGAGCATGCATTTCGTATTATCCGGTCTTGTTAAATGTTTCTATATATCATGTTTCAAAAAAATGTTTATATATATCAAAGCACCACTCAAGAATTGAATAACTCTATGCGGCGTTTGTGTTTACGCTTCTTCGTATAACAATTTTTTCGGTAGAGCATCACAATTATTTTTCGAAATTCAGGATGTTTTTATTTGGACCGTAATTTGTCTCAGATCAAACCAGATCAGATTAGACCAGATCAGATCAGTATAGACCAGATCAGACCAGACCAGATTTGGATAGTTATAAAAATTAAATACAAAGAAACCAGACCAGCAAGTTACAGTTCAAATAAAAACATCCTCAATTATAAATCGTTGAAGCGTGGTGGGATCGTGATTCATTAGAGAAACTTCTTCTGCGTCGAATGACATATTCACATACACTTCTTTCTTATAATAAGGTAGATTCTATCATACCCGTAAAGTATCATACATTTTTCTATATGGATCAATGAGAATGTTGTAGTTCAATTATTTAAATCTAAATTAAAAATGATATAATGGTGTAGATCAATCAAGTGAATGATAGGTATGTTGGAAAAATGGTTTTACAAATTAATATTACTAATATTATTTGTGAAAAAACCGTTTTGAAATGAATGAGAAATTGTTCCCCAAAAGATAAGCGTGTAATTATATTTAACACGCACACACTGCCATCTTCAGTCGGTCGGATCGGGTCGGGTTTCAGGTAAGAGTCTTAAACCGTCTGCCCTAGCATATGGCTTAAAGATAATTCTATTAGTCGCTCTCAATTTTGGATAATGTTTGGCAATAGACACATTCATTGTTTTTAGAAGGAGAGTCACAACCTTTCTTTCTAAAGGTGTCTTTTGGGTGTAGAATCTTCTGGCCAGAGCTCTATATATACCCATGACTTGACAACATTTTCAATCAATCCGAAAACCATCACACAATCCTCCATATTATATCTTCCTTCGTTGCATCTTTGAGTTCGCCGGAATCCCGTTGGGAGTGAAGAACCGTTCTATCCTGGGAGACGATTGCTACGTGTGTCGGACAAAAACGTCTTAAGGAAACAACGCTTAAGTTGGACTCGGTTACAAGTAATCTTACGTTTTTCCTCAATTATTTATTCGTTATTTCATTTGCATGCAGAATATTGTACATACACGTAACGATCTTAAGACGTTTTTCGTTTAGTTTTTACTGTTCTGCGTGCATATTTTCTCCGTTCCAATCGTCGTTTGCGGTTCTTCGTATTTTATCATTGTTCGGCTACATGTCCTTCTGCCTCTTCAATTATTGTTCATTTTCCTTAATAGTCACTATTTAAATGTCACGTCACTTTAATTTTTCTACATGTGCTTAATTTGTTTAAGTATGCTTCAATTCTTGTCTTTAAATCTTAGATATCGAGTCTAATGCATGTTCGTCTGCCGCCTATGCCTTATATTTGGTTGAATATTTAATGTGTACTGATGGAGTATATAGGTCTAGACCCCAGGACCCACATACTCGGAAGAATGAAAGGCATAGCTATCACTCAGAGGAGCCTCCGTCGGCCAGATGGCCCTCCATCGGCCAGAAAGATATCAACTCAAAATATGATCCAGAAGTCAGGAGAACCAGGTGTCTCCGTCGGTCGGGTCTCCATCGGCCAGACCCTCATCGGCCACGGAGAGCTCACAGAACACAATTTCATACTTAGTTATTTCTACATACGTTGTACTCGGCCCAGTAGTGGCCCCATTGTAAATGGGCCTCCCAAGCCAAAGACTTGAGAGCTCAGCCCACATTTTCTCTATAAATACCCCTCTTGGGGGTAGTTGTAGGGGGTTCACAAATCATTTATTGCAGGTATTTACTGTATTTCTCTCTCTAGCTCTCACTTCTTTCTAGATAATTACTCTATCATTTGGTGCTCTCATTGAGAGCTAGAACAATCAAGTTAGCATCCTTCGTCGCTACCAAGCACAACTAACTGACCATGGGAAGAACTAAGTCAAACCGTAACTTCGTCGGCAAGGCGATCCTTGACACCCAGGATGATAGGGAACACGAGGAGGATGCCACAGCCGACAAGGCCACGGGCAGGGATGTTTTCCAGGAAGCCATCGACCTTACAAATGATCTTCACAACCAGCTCAACGGCGGCGCTCCTGACACTCGCATCGGTCTAGACAAGAAGCGCCTGGAGAGGGGCGACAATGCCTTGGGGCAACCGGCTTCTCCCGCCGTTGACCCACAGCTCCAAGCCGCACTCTCGGCTATCATCGTCGGCCTGGCCCAGAACCCCACCGTCCTTAGTGCACTCATGCCAAGGACTGGGGAGAACACTACGCTGCCTCCTTAGCCCCAGCCGTTGGCCATCAAGATAGGCAACGCCGAAGGGATGGTACCCCAGGACACGTCGTCATCCCACTCCCACCCTGCTTCCCCACTTTGAGCCGGACCGACCCAGCGCGTGGAAAAACCTCAGCCTTCAATAGGCTACGTGACACGCGCCGTCGGCCTGCTTCGGAGAGGATGTCGGGACGGATTGATGAACGTGAGCCTGGCTCACCAAGGGAAAGCTTGGGGTCTGTATCCCGGACAGCGGATCGGCCCCGCCTGGAAAAAGGCAAGGGAAAGTTGCACGAGGACAATGCGCGCCACCAGATCAACACGGCCCACGAGGCCCGCGTGCGCACCCAACAAGGCGCCACTACGGCTGCCAAGGACCCCCGGGACGAGGTCATCGCCCAACTGGAAAGGAGGTTGGCCCAGGTGGAGGTAAAGCAATCGGCAACCATTCCTACGGCCAACACGTCCAGGGATCCTAGTTTCAATGCGCTCCCGCATAAGGTCAGCGCCCTGGAAAGGGAGTTGGCCGAGGGGAGGGGTGACCCTATCATCCAGGTCAAGACCAAGACTCCCTTCATTGCGAGGGTACTCTCGGATCCTATTCCCGAGAAGTACAGGGGAAATGCCATCAAGCCTTATGACGGCCGCACCGACCCTCAGGAGCACTTCGACCGCAATCAGAACAACATGCTGATGGTGAATGTGTCGGATGAATACCTCTGCCATTGGTTCCTTTCCACTCTTGAAGGGCCAGTGTACGAGTGGTTCAACGCGCTCCACGAACGAAGCATAGACTCATGGCAGGATCTTGCCCAACGCTTCCTCACTCACTTTGTTGGGAGGAAGCGTGCAAAGAAATACTTCACCCATCTCCTCCCCATCAAGCAGCAGCATGATGAATCACTCCGGTCATTCATCGATCGGTGGACGAAGGAGACCGACGAGGTCGAAGGGGCCAATGAGCGCACCCTCCTCGTCCTTTATCAAGGAGCCCTCCGCAGCACTCGTACGCTGCAAGGTCATACACGAAGGCGCTCCAGCGAGGGAACTTATACGCTCACGCCGACGAGCTCCACAACCACAAGAAGGACAGAGGGCACCCCTCTAAGAAGACAAACACCGCGCAAGCTCCAGGTGCACCCTCGTTCACGGGCCGAGGTCAGGGAGGACAGAGCCGCCATGGGTCTGGAGGACAGAACAAGAAGGATCGCCCATGGCGGTCGAGGATGGAAAGGCCGAGGACCCCCCTCACACACTCGGTCAACTCCATCCTCGATTACGCCGAGGAATATGATCTCATTGAACGGGATCCTCGGTCGGCGAAGGAAATCTACGTCATCCATCAGGGTGGCACCTACTGCCGTTATCACAAGAAGACCTCCCACAACACCGACGATTGCGTCACACTGAAGAGAGCCATCAAACGACTAATTCGGCAGGGGGAACTCTCCCAATTTGTTAAAGGTGGCCCGCGCAAAAAAACGTGGGTAAACACCGGCAAAAAGGGGGTGGGGGAACCCTCTTCGAAGAAGCGCGAGATCGGCAGACTCAGCGATGACGATGAAGACTTCGAGGAGCCCCCTCCAAAAAAGAATCACATCAATCTCATAGTGGGGGCAACACTGGGGGAGATACCACCACCCAGAGGAAGAAATGGGCTCAGTCTCTATACATTCGTGAAGTATCTCATATTCCCCCTCAGTCGAAGAAGCAACGGACGAAGGCGATCACCTTCACCGACAAGTATCTGCCTCCAGGTTCCGCATCACACAGGGACGCCCTCGTCATCCGATGTGAGATAGGTAACTCTATCATCCACCATACTTACATCGATACGGGGAGCTCCGTCAATGTTATGTACCTTGACACCTTCAAGCAGCTGAAGCTGAACAAGGCCCTGCTCAATCCGATCCGGACACCTTTGTCCGGCTTCACCGGGGACTCTATTGACGCCGAGGGCACGATAGTCCTTCCCGTGGAGGTCGGCGATGGCTCCCATCGTGCCAAAATTGACATGGAATTCATGGTGGTCAACCTCGAGTGCGCCCACAAACTGATCTGGGGGCGACCAGCATTAGAGGACTTGGAGGCCATCATCTCCATGAAACACTTATGCTTGAAGTTCCCCACCAGTGACGACATCAGTTATGCCAGGGGGGACCAAAGGATAGCAAGGGCATGCTACCTCAAGCTGACAAAGCCGGTTGCAAGCACCGAGTAAAGAATAGACACTATCACCACCACTGTTGCCAAAGACGAGGAAAGGCCACATGCTGAGCCGATCGAGGATGTCGAAAAGCTCCCCTTGGATGCCTCCCGACCAGAGCGAGTCCTGAAAATTGGGAAGCAACTCCCACAGGATCAACGCGACGACATCCTCCTAGTCATGCGGTCATACGCGGTCATTTTTGCGTGGGGCCCGGACGACATGCTGGGCATTAGCCGGAAGGTGATCACTCACGGGCTGTCAGTCGTTCCAGCTTCCACCCCAGTGAAGCAGAAGCGGCGCTACCTTTCGGCAGACAGATGAGACTTCGTCAAGGGGGAGGTCACCATGCTCCTCTCCATCAGCCACATCAAGGAGGTGAAATATCCAACTTGGTTAGCCAACGTCGTCCTCGCCCAAAAGGTGCCGACATTCAGAATGTGCGTTGACTACACTGACCTGAACAAGGCGTGCCCCATGGACC